GGACCCATGGCTTCACCTTTCTGAATTGTCTCGTTTAGAAACTACTTCGGCCTCTGTGGAGTCTTGCGTGGTAGCTGTAATTGTAAGCGCCCTGCATACAAAGTTACAAGCTCTGTTAAGAGCAATAACGTAGTTAGCAAGCCCCAGGCTTGCTGATAGCTTTTCGAAGCCCGAAGGGGTGAGTGGAAGTAGTCACCGTGGAAGCTGGAGATGTATATGTATGCATGTCTTTTCTTAATCATCTCTTTGGCGTACTCCTTGGGAATTGAAACTTCCCCCCTTCCCACCAAAGTGGTTTTGATAGCTCCCAGTTATGTTTTGTGGCATCCGCTTAGAGAAGTAAAGATGGACTTTATTTCCTCAGGGTGACATTTAGCCTGGCCCAGAGATGCTGTAGTTCTGTTACTCTTTGAGCCAGTTGAGGCTGTTGACTGTGGCGCAAACACGGCTATTTGAAAGGACAGATCAGGTGACATTGTGTTCGTTAGGGGGTTCGCGGTCAACCTGCAAGTCACAGACATGATGGGACCTTTTTCTCTGAGCGGATGCCTTTTGGGCTCTTTGGAGAATCTTCCCCTTGCTGCTCTCAGAAAGCTGGGTGCTCGGAAGGCTTCGGCCCCGTAAGAGTTGAGGGAGAGCATGGGGCGCATGCGTGGCCCCGTCTCCCTGGTCTGGTTTCTGGGAATAGACAGCGGCCCATCCCTCCGAATAGCACACTTGGGTGGCAGCATGGGGAAAATGCCCGAAAGGCTGTCCTTTCTTTTCCGTGTGTTAGCTGAAATTTAGGGCTTCTTCAGACAGACAAACCTGGCTAGACATGACATGACCAGCGCACAAATCCGTTTGTGGCCAGTCAGCCTGTCTGCTGCCAGCGCTGCCCGGGGGTCACGCCTTCCCTTTAGAATACAGCCAGACCCAGAAACCTGGCATTCTGACGGCCAGCTCATCCTCACACTAAACTGGGTGTGCCACCTTCTACGGGGCCTTTAAATAAAATAGCATTTACTGGCTTTGTGGGTGAAGGGAGACATCAGACAGGGCAAGATATGACATAATAATAATTTATAAATTATCAAGAGTTCATGAGAGAGAGGGGGGAGCGGGTAGGGAGAGGGAAAAATGTGCTGATGCCAGGGACTTAAGTGGAGAGCAAATGTTTTAAGAATGATGAGGGCAATGAATGTACAAATGTGCTTTACACAATTGATGTATGTATGGATTGTGGTGGGAGTTGTATGAGCCCCTAAGAAAATGATTTTTTTTTAAAGAAAAATTTCTAAGTGTAAAGGAAAATGACTGTTAATTAACTGGTGGGACCTCCGATTCAACTTCTCCTGGCTGCTCCCTGCATGAGAAAGGCCAGAGAAAATGTGTTCTTTTCCATCCCAACAGCCATCCGTACTGTCTTTGACCTGAGCAAGCAAGGGCCCCACCCCGCCTCCTAGTGTGTTTGGCAGCACTGCCCTTTCCTGGCCAGTCTGGAAGCAGTTGATACTCACAAACGTTGTCTACTGCCCTGGAGCCTGGTTCAGGTCTCTGGACACTTCAGCTGAGGCTCATCTGTGGGAATGTCTCAGCCATGGATGACATTGCTCGGGGCACGGGGGCATAGTCAGCCCAGCGAAGCCTGCTTGTGGGAGGTGCTTAGTGTCAAAATTCAGCTCACATCCTCCCCGAAAGATGCCCTGCTTTCCAGAGGCCAGCACAGAAGCCACAGGCAAAGCCACACGTGCTTAACCTCACTGAACAGTGTCCCCTAAAACCCCTCCCTCTGCTCCCCAGTTAAGACTCAGAACTACTGCAGCTCAGTGTTACCTCAGATGAAACTCCTGTGCTGACGTGGGGCCGGGGCTGTGCCCTCTAGTCCCCACAGCTCCCGTCTGGAGCCGCTGGGTGGGGGTGGGGGTGGGGGCCAGCTGGAACCCTGAAAAGGCACACTTGAGGGTGGTCTGAGTGGTTGCTGAGTGTTGGGGGTCCACTGCAGCTCTCCCGACCCCTTCTGTCGCGACTGCTTCTGTCCAGCCTGTGTGGACTCTTTCTTTTTTTAACTACAAGTTGTTTTCCGGTCCTGGGTGTGGTAAATGTGTTAGCACTGCTTTGTGAACAAAGGAATGAGTGATCTGTGTAACAGTTGCCATGGTAGAACTCAGTTGTATGTACTGTACATATGGAGAGAGAATGTATTTTCTTTTTTTCTTAATAAAAATTCTGTATATGGACACCACCCGATGTCTGTTGTTTGCTGAAACGGCTCTTCAAGTCCACCTTGAAAGTAGTACAGCCTGAAGGTCATCAAGTGACCATCCAGCTCAGAAGCAACAACGCCCACATGGAAGAAGCACACCAGCCTGTGCGATCACGAGGTGTCGAAGGGATCAGGTATAAGGCATCATCAGAACAAAAAATCTTACCATAGTGAATGATGGGGGGAGTGCGGAGCAGAGACCCAAAGCCCATTAGTAGGCCACTGGAGATCCCCTTGCAGAGGGGTCTCGGGAGGAGACAAGCCAGTCAGGGTGTGATGTAGCAACGATGAAAGATACAACTTTCCTCTAGTTCCTAAGTGTTTCCTCCCCGCTCCCACTATCATGACACGAATTCTACCTTGCAAGTCTGGCTAGAGCGGAGGATGTACACTGGTACAGATAGGAACTGAAAATACAGGGAATCCAGGGCGGATGATCCCTACAGAACCAGTGGTGTGAGTGGCCATACTGGGAGGGTAGAGGGAGAATGGGTGGGAAAGAGGGAACTGATTACAAGGAACTATATGTGACCTCCTCCCTGGGGGACAGACAACCGAAAAGTGGGTGAAGGGAGACGTCGGACAGGGCAAGATCTGACAAAATAATAATTTACAAATTATCAAGGGCTCATGAGGGAGCGGGGAGCGGGGAGGGACGGGAAAATGAGGACCTGATGCCGGGGGCTTAAGTGGAGAGAAAATGTTTTGAGAATGATGAGGGCGTACAAATGTGCTTTACACAATTGATGTGTGTATGGATTGTGTAAGAGTTGTATGAGCCCCTAATAAAATGATTTAAAAAAAAATAGTACAGCCGTTCTGTTCTCCCCTCCGAAGGGACTTCTCTTCAGTCTCCGCAGGTGACCAGCAGTAAGTAGCCTGTGGAAGGGCTTCTGCGAGCTTTTCCTTGGCGACACTTTCCTTGGCGACACGGCTGACATGCAGGAGGGGTCACTCGCCATGCTTCTCACAACAGTGGTCATTCTAATCCCCACACCGTCCACATCTGGCCAGTTTTGTGAACTTGCTCATTTCCCCAGCTGCCTTCAGCGGGCATGTATTTGTCCAGCGTGGGAACGGCAGGGCAGGAGATGGAGGATTGAAATAGAAATTGTGGAACCGTTAAGGGAGAACCTGGAGGGAGGGGAGGGACCAGGAAGTTGGGAACATTCTAGATCCCTGTCTCCAAAGTGGAGATCTAGAAACCGCAGCCAGATCCCCTGTGGGCCTGTGGCCTCTCTAGACCTGGTTTCTGCCCCTGGTGGGAGACAGCACGCAGCTTCCTGTCTCTCGCATTCGACGTCGCCTCGCCCAGGTCAGGCCAGTGGGGAGGCCATCGAGGTGCTTCTGTTTACCCAAGACTATCCCTTAGGTGGCCAGCTGGGCACACACCTCCTAGGGACAGCCACAGCTTAGAAAGGGCCCAGCAGTAGGCACTAGTCTCTAAAAATAAAGGTGACATTCTTGACCACCAACCCTTGAGCTTCTGAAGACCCCTGCTGGCTCCCTGTGGTAGCCTTGGCATGAACTTGGCCCCTGGGCCATCCATCCACCCCTCCTTGCCCTTCCCACCATGCACCAGGACATACTTGTGGAGGTCTGAGCAAGAGCCAGCGTGGAGAGCAGGGTGGCAGAGGCTCTGGAGCCATTCTTGCTCTGATTACTCCAGGACTGCCTCCCCTGCTGGGCCCACGCAGGAAGTGCAGCCAGCCCTGCCCTTTGCAGAGACCCTCCCCCGGGGGATGATGAGTACAGCACATGTCCCACCAGGGCCACAGCCTTGCTTTTACTTTCAGGCCCAGCAGTGGCTACTGGGCGGGGCCAGGGTGGTTTCGATGCCTGTGCCATGGTTTCCCCGTCAGTTGCCAGTATTGGTGGCAGTCCCACTCAGGATTTTTTAAAATCTCATGAGATGCCAAGGTCTTTGAAAACAGGCCAGTGGAGTATTTATCTGGATAATTACAGCCGCCGGCCCTGTTGTTTACTTTCTTGACCCATGGGGCTCATGAGTGTGTGGGTTGTGGGGGGAGCGTGGAGGATGGCAGAGACTGGCAGTGACAAAGGTGTAGCAAATCCAAAATGACAAGGGAAGGTGCCTCTGGGCTGGCAGGCAGGCAGGCCTTGGGGTGAATGACCTATTCAGGAAGAGCAGAGTCAGACCAACTGACCTTGAGCCCTTCCGAGAACAGCACCCCCCAGCCCCGCTGGCAGCGTGAGCTCCTTCCCTCTGTGTCCCTGGCACGTTTCTGAAGTTCATCTCAAAACACCCCACCATGACTTTGGCCCACCCTCTAGGTGTCAGCTGCCTGCCTTCCAGAACTTTCCTGTGACCTGGAAGTTGTGCCACATTCTCGAAATGTGTTTTGCCGTTGGGAGACCCCAGCAATGAGGGTGCCCTCGAGAAAAGAATGCCAGTTGAAGAGGGGAGAGCTGTGGTTCCAGGCCCGTGCACCTGAAAGCGCCCCTGCCACATGGTTCTCCAGGGCAGGCTCCACAGCTGCGAGTGCCTCCACCTCTGCCACCAGGATCCCTTCAGGCCACTGCTGGAACAGCGTGGTCACAGCACTTGGGTCCAGCTGAAAGGCCACCTGGGTAAGGGACCCCAGGCCCTGCCTTTCTGCTTCCCACCCCTGCGCCCAGCCCTTGTACAGCCCTTGTGCATTGAGTGCACGCAGGACCCTGGCCACGGCTGGCACCCTGAGGAGGAAGCGCACCAGCCACCCAGCACAACAAAACACTCCTGCTTCAGCCAGCGTACATCAAAGCACTTTAATGGACAATTTCCAAAATAGATACTTTTTTGGTAAGAAAATGCAATAATTAACTATAGTAGTCTTTACAAACGAGTTTCTCGGTAAATTCCAGTGTACTTCAGACCCCTGTCCGCTAAGACACATGGCTCCACCCCACCCCAGCAGCCGGTGTTCAACATTCATTTGTGACCCAGAGGCCCACCTCCAGCAGCAGCAGCACCCGCCCCTTCCTCAGTGGTGGGTTCTCAGGAGACCTAACGTATCAATCAGCCATGGGCGACAACACGCTGCCCTCTCGTCCCTGCCTCCGCGTGGGGCCCGCCCACCCCGAGCCCTGCCAAACTCAGGCCCTGGCCAGGAGGAAGAGCAGAGCTGCTCCTTGGACCCTGGTACCTAAGGGCTTTGGAAAAGCATCAAAGACGAGTGGGGCTCCTTTTGTCCTCATGTCCTACGAAGAAGGGCTGTCCAGGGCACTTCAGACAGCCACATCTTTCTCTCATAAACCATCCAGTGGGTTTGAACTGCCGACTTTGTGGTTAGTGGCCAGGCACTTAATCTTGGCTTCTGGGGCACATAGTCTGTTGCCTAGGGCTTATGACTTGCATCCTAACCAGTTGAGTGATTCTGTCCCCGTCTCCTAGGGTGGACCCAGCCTCTCAGCACGACAGCAGAGCCTTGGCTGGGAATGGGCGAGGGGCTCGTTCTTCATAAACTTAAAAAGCCTGATCTGGAAAACCAACATTCTTCCTCGGCCTATCTGGTCACATCAAGCAGAACCCAGTCACTTCTACCAAAATGGACAAGTACACACCTGTTCAAAACTAAACCAAAAAAAAAAAAAAATCTTAAAATATACTCACTGAAAGCCGTGCACAGTGCAGTGTGGATTAACATGTGGCCATTGTATTTACAAGATCAAAAACCATATATATATATGTTTAGTATCCAGTTGAACCTGACTTCCCAAGTCTCACCAGCATACACAGAAAGGATGAAGCTCAAGAGGTGATCTGAATAAATGTTCTGCTAGTTTTGCTCACCGAGGAGGCAGGGGCAGCAGGGTGGCGACCAGACTGGATTAAACCCATATTCTGTACCGTGGGGCCCAGCACATGCTACCCACTTCGCCCACACTGCTACTCTGCCCCAACCCCACCGCCAGCCCCATCCTTCTGCAGCTTAAGGAGATTACCAACACAGACAGATTGCCTGCGCCCTGTGGCCATCCGGCAGCATCCAGAACCCAGGGAGGACACTGCCCTGGTGCAGATGTACTAGCAAAGGACACTGCTTCAGCTCAGTCACCAGGTCACCAGCCAGCAAAGCCTGAACCCCGGCTCGTCCTGACTTGGCAGCATTTGCCCTCTCTCCTTGTCACCTGTCTGTATGAGCCCTGCTGACGAGGAACAGCAAGCAGGCCCCTTCTCAGCACACTGCCCCCATTTCCACAGGCCCAGCCTTGTTCCTGTCCTGGCAGGCCCTGCTGGGGGTCCAGGAGTCTCTCAGGCAGCCAGTGAGGGGACCAGCTGTCCCACAGCAGACAGCCGGGGTAGCCAGAACTCTCCCAGGCCCCCCAGCCTGCCTCCTACAGCCCCAGCCCCAACGCCAACCTGGGGTCTGGCCCTGCCCTGAAATCCTCATTCAGCCCTGGTTCCTAGATTGTAGCAGAGAATTAACGTCCAGAAGCCCAGAGAGGATCCCTGGGCCCAGGAAGAATAGAGTCCGTGGCCAAGTTCAATTTCCATGTGGGATCCCACCTGCTCCGCCCATCAGGCACCCTCTTGCCCAGGCCTCGACACTACCCACTGGGCTCTCCTGGGGACTCCACACGGGCCCAGGCCTGGCTTCTGTGTCATTTGCCACCAGACATGGCAGGGAGGAGAACAGCAGCCCTGCAAGGCACAGAGGAGAGGGGGCAGGGAGGGGTCCCCAGGGGCTGGCCAGGCCCCCAGCCACTCTGCCAGCCAGCCCCTGGGAAACAGTGCAGGCCCCAGCCCAATGCCCCATGGCACAGGGGAGCCTGCCAACAATTTGAGCTTTGGCCTTTGGCAGTGTGGGGGCTGGGTTACAAAACAAACAGAACCAAACTCGGCTACTGGCAAGTCCCTGAGTTTCCTGTGTGGAGAAAAGGGGGAGGCCTGTCCTCCGGGCTGTTCTCAGTGGCTGTTGTCCGTTACACTCATCGGGTGCTGGCAGAAGGGGAAGAGTGTCCCCCTGCCCCTGGCCCGGTCTGTCCACCACTCCTGCTGGATGCTGGGGAGTGGAGCTTCATCTTCAACCCCAAGTCTGCGTGCCATGGACAACGGGGTCCCTGCTGGCCCTTCTCCCAAGCAGCCAGCCGCACTGACGCACGATCTGGCTCTGACTCTGTCCCAGGTGTCCCTTCTGGCGGGAGGGTAGAGGCGAAGGCGGCGGCATGGCCTGATGGAGACACGCCCTGGGCTGAGGGACGGGGGTCTTGTCCTTTGTCGTCATCCTGAGTGGCTCTGTCCCCAAGTGGCCATGTGACCTTGGCAAGTCACTTAGCTCTTTGAGGTCCCCGCCCCCCAGCTCTCCCTCTCATCTTCCAGTGGCACTGCGCTCAGGCACTAGTGGGTATTTTGCAAGAGGAAACTAGACAGAAGGTGGTTCGGCTTGAAGAGGGAAAAAGTAAGGCCCCGTGAGGGGTTTGAGAAGACAGAGCCCTGAGTCCAACCTCCCTCCTCGTCTCCCCTTCCACCACGGGAAGGACTCTGCCTCCCTGGTCCAAACAGCACTTGAGGTGGTCAGGCAGCTCGGCGGCGCCAGCAGCCTGGCTAGAGGTGTGTGTCTTCCTCCTCCTCCAGCTCTTCCTTGGTCAGGTTGTCCAAGGGGACGATCCAGCTGTCCCCCAGCTCCCCATTGAGATTGACCACCTTCTTCTCCTGCATCTCGGACGAGGTCTCCATCACTTCCAGCGTTGGGTTGTCATGGTAGCCGTTCTCCACGGTCTGCAGCTCCTCGGTCAGGCGTTGCTAGAGGAGGACCCAAGGAGAAGGGTCACATTGGAGGGCAATGGCCTTAGATGGTCCACTTCTACGAAACCCAAACCCAACGGGGCACAGGCCCACTCTTGACATGTGTGGGGCCACCTGGAGGCAGGGGTTGCCCTAGCGGGAGCTAGCCACAAAACACATTGGCCTCGGCCTTCTGGAACCAAGTCCTTCAAGGTCAGGATCCTGGTGTGATTGCCTAGAGCAGGAGCAGCCAGAGCCCAGGTGGGTGCCTGGCTGGCCTCAGGCCTAGCTCCAGGCAGAGACTTGCCCCAGCTCCCTTCACTGGCACCCCCAGTGACAAATGTTTAAGGCGGCTCTCTTCCAGAGGCTCCCAAAGGGCCTTCCTCGGCCCACCCCTGCAGACCTGCCTCAGCCACCAAAGTGAACTGGGAGAGGCTTTCAGGCAATTACTCCCCTGGTGGGGTGACCCAGGGCGAGGGAGACAGCAGCTGGTGGTGGGCACTGGTTTCCCCACCCCCTGCCTCTTGGTACGAGACAACCATGGCTGCACCCTACAATCCCACTGAGCCTCCTGAGACTCTAGAAGCAGATTTCTGGGACGCTGGAGACTGCCTCCAGAGCTGGAAACTACAGACCAGAGGGCCACTCTGACGAGGGGCTCTCCCCGGGGCCTGCACGAGGATGCTGGTCAGACAGGCCCGCCGAGATGGGATGGGTTCATCCTCCGGGCAAGGCGGGCATTGTCCCCACCACACAGGTGAGGAATCCAGGGCACGACAGGTCACGGGACTTGGGCACACTCTCAGACGGCACAGCCCCACAACCAAACACGTTTCTTGGTTTTGGTTTCTCGGCCTGTGCCCGGCGTTATTTGGGGTGCGGATTCAGAATTCAGGCTTCGATAGAGAGCCCACAGCTGCTCTAGTGTCTTAGGCATGGTGCTCCACTATATTTTCAGCTAGTAAGTGATACAAATGTATCTTCCTAGTTTTAAATCTGAAAAGAATTCAGATCCACATGTTACACGGTAAGACCAAAAAAATAAATATATAAATGGTAAATATTTGAAAAAGAATTACTAGGTGTTAAAGGACTTCCACAGGAAGCTATATATGGACCCCTGGCTGGTTAAGCAAGCAGTGAGCTGTCAATCACGTCAGTGGTTCAAAGCCACCAGTCACTCTGTAGCCTTGCAAAGATCGAAAGGTAAAAAATAACAGAACAAGAAATCTAAAGGTTTGGAAACCCCAAGGGGCAGCTCTTCAGTCGCAGGGACACTGTGCGTCAGAATCGATTCGATGGCGGCCGGTCTTTCTCTTTGGTCGGAGGCTGCACCACAGACAGAGACTGGATTCTGCAGAGCCAGAGTGCAGCTTGAGAAGCGTTGGAGATACAGAGAAAACCACAAAGACACAGGTATGGAAGGTGTGCGGACCATTCGACGTGTAGAAAATAGGTAAGATTTCACAGCCATTTTCATAAGTAGTTTGAGCTTGTGAATTTTTCTGGGTCAAATGATGCACAGTGCCATATGCAAAAGTCAGTGGATAATGCAGGCTAAACGTGTCCCAGGTGACCTTGACTCCAAACTCCCTATAAGAGGATAATCCACCTTCTGAGAGTTTTCTGTGCACAGGTGGAGGGGTCGTGGCATCTTGTAAGCAGACTGGAGCATCTTCATGTGAACAAAGGAGTCTGAATCCTGGCAGACCCGTTTGGGGTTTCAGAACATGGGAATCTCTATTGCTTATACCAAACTCACCAGTTAGTCCATTAGGCTCACAGTGGCCCTGTAGGACAGAGTGGAACTTCTCCCGCAGAGAAGCTGGTGAGCTCTGAGACCTGACGGGCCCTGCGCTTGGCAGGGTGACCCACTGTGCCACTGGGGCCGTATGGATTGTCACCCTCAGTTCTGCCCCTTGTTAAGGTAACACATTGGAGCTGCCCTCTCTGGTCGGTTCCTAATAAAGGTGAGGTGATAGATATACTTGGGGGAAAATTCCAAGTACGTGGAATGTGTGCTGTTCAAATATATCTTTGCAGCAAAGGACCCCACGTGAAGTATAACTTGACTTAAATATTTAGGTCACTATAAAGCCATCACACCCTCCCACTATCTCTGGCCAGCTAACACAACATTAAAAGATCCTGATTTTTTTTTTTTTTTTTAATGTATGAGCAGAGTAAAGAATGGTAGTAGTGTGCTCTGTCTTTCAAAAAAGTAGCGCTCAGCGGGGGGAACCTGATGCCATTGTTTAAGAATCAGCAGGTCAAACTCAAACATACCCAGAAACGAGCCCGACATAACACACACATGTAAGGGGTCAAAATGTGTGTGTGGCCCATGTCATCAATAAGAGGCTGACTTTGTGACTCCCAGACCCCTCAGGGTCTGCCTGCCTGGTGTCTGGAAGGGTCCCCATACTGCCTGCTGCCCTCCTTTGGCACCTGGGGGCTGACTGGGGATGCTCACCTGGTCCTTCCTGTGGGAGAGGCGCTGGTGGCAGCAGCCGTACAGAGCGGCGACGAGGAGCAGGAAGGAGGCCATGCAGACGATGGTGATGATGAGGGGCATGCTGAAGCGGTCCTCGGCCTCCTCCGGGGGCCCCTGGTCACCCAGCTGCATGTCACTGACCCCCACCTGGACAGGAAGGACAGGATCGTGTGGCAGGAGACCGGCTCGGGGGCACCTCTGCTCGCCCAGCCTTTCACAAGCCTTTGTACTTGGGCATCTGGTCTGCCCTCCGCCCTAGCCCCCCCTCACCCTCCTGACTTCTGGGTGCTGGCCCCTGGAGGCTTCTGGCCCAGCACACAATGGAAAGACCTACTCACCTCTTGTAAGTCATCCCATTTGTCCTTCAGCCGCTCATAGATGTCGCCGGGCTGGAGGATTGCTAAGGGAGAAGCGGGAGAAGACGTCACCTCACTGGCACCCCCCCAGCTCAGCCCTTGGCGCTCCTGGGTCCCCAACTTACTCTGGACAGAGATCTGCTTGACCAGCACGGCCTGGTCTTCTGGGACGGGCGCCAGCCGGATGTGGCACTGGTCCCGAGCGGGGTTGAAGGAGGATTTTGCTGTTTTACACAGAACGGTGATCAAGTTCTCATCGGGAGGGCTCTTTGCCTGCTGTGGAGAGACCCCTGGTGAAGCCTCAGGGACACCATGACCTGCGAGAGTCCTGAGCTGCGGGTCACCCCCGAGGGCCTCACAAATCAGCCAGACTCCTGCCATCGAGTCAATGCGGACTCGCAGTGACTGCGCTGCTGGTGCGCTTTCCACCGCTGACCGCGCAGACCGCAGCCCAGTGCTAATACTGCCAGGGATCCCTTGAGTTTGGGAAAGTGACAAGGGGACGGTCCCCTTGCTATGGCTTACCTGGGGACACCACCCCGCTCCCATGGGTTTTGAAAAGCCACTATTTCCTGAGGTTGACTCCCCACCGCGACACCAGGAAGGGACCCAGCACTTCCTGCCTGACCTCTCCATCAAATCAAGGCAAATCCCCTCCCCCAGAGCCTCTGGCCCCGCCAAGTTTAGCCAAGAGTGCCCCCGAGGAAGGCTGGGCAGTGCCCAACAGCCCCAGGGGCGAGCTCGGCGGGTTTCTGTGTGTCCACCACCACTTTTTGGTAAAGTTCACGCGGGACATGCCAGCAAAATGGGCACCAAACGGGGCAGGGCTAGAAATCAGGGCCTTGTGAGCATGTAGATCATCTCATTCCGAGGGGCTGCCAGGCAGACGCTGGCCAGGAGAGGGCAGCAACGAGCCGCCCATCACCTACCCTGCGGGCTGGCTCGCTTTCCCGGTGGTGGTTCAAACCCACCCGCCCTGGGCGAGGATTGGGATCTCCCAAGCCCCAGTGGATGCCCCAGGGGTCGCAATATTGCCTCGGGTGGCTCTGGTCACGGGAGCCAGGACCTTGCCCAGCAGCACTTGGGCGGCCCGATGGAGCTGCCCAGGGCCGGGAATACTCACGCAGAGGCTGGTCTTCGTCAGGTTCAGAACCAGCATCTTCTCATCTGGCTTTTCGGGGGCCTCACACTGGACCTGGAAGAGGCCGCTGGGTTCAGGGTTCAGGCTCAAGACCTCAGCATTGCCAGGCACCCCGGCCACCCCCCCAACCTCAGGCAGGTGAGACTAAAAGGGGGCGGTGCCAGGCTGGCAGGGGGCGGTGCCACAGCAGGAGACTCAAGGTCTGGAAATGCTGCCCTTCAGGGGGTCTAAGCCAGGCAGGGCCTGGGACCAAGAGGGGCTGTCCTATGAATACCCGGTTGTTCCCAAGCACGAAGGTGGGTTGCATGCTGGAGCTGGGGGGTGCGGGGGCAGGTGGCAGCAGGGTGGTGAAGGCAGTGGTTCCCGGGAAGACTGGCACGTCGCCGGCAGCCGATTTCTCTCCTTGGTCGGTGACTGGCGCCGCTGTGATGGAGGAGACACAAAAGTGGTGCCAGGGGGTAAGTGAGCGAAGAGATGCAGACCGCTCGCAGCCCTCCCCACCCCCACCCCTTACCGCGTGACGGTAAGAAACCCTCTCTCCACGGGTTTTCAATGGTGGTTCTCATGGGGAAAGTGGCCTGGTGGGTCGTGATGGCGTTGGGCCGTTAACCGCATGGTCAGCAGTTTGAAACCATCGGAGACCCCACTAGAGAGGGACAAGGCGTTCTACTTCTGTCAGAATTAAGAGTCTCAGCAGGGGCACCTGTGGTGTTATTGTGTCCTGGAGTGGGTTCCCACCCATGGCGACCCCGGGTACAACAACGAAACACAGCCAGGTCCTGCACCGTCCTCCCAGGTGTTCTTCACCTTGTTACCCATCATCACAGTCGCTGTGGCAGTCCATCTGGTAGAGGATATAACTCCACTTTACCAGGCATGGAGAGGGCAGGAGAGGGCAGCAGCGAGCCGCCCATCACCTAACCATGCCAAGTCAAACCACCTAAGACACAGCTGTTCGGTTTTTGGCGCCCAAGGGTACTTTCAAACACTCTTTGCCAAAATCCTAGTTGCAAAGAAAA